AATGACCAGTTGTGCAGTTGTTCTGCCATTCGGTCTATTTGCATACTAGGGTTTTATATATAGAGATAGCCAAGATCTGGAAACAGCCCAAGTGCCCATCAGTAGATGAGTGGCTAATAAAGCTGTGGTACAATTACACCATTGAATACTATGTAGCTGAAAAAAAAAAAAAAAAAAGGATCTTCTACCCTTTGAGACAACATGGAGGGACCTGGAGAGTATTCATCATTTGCAACAGCATGGATGGAGAAAGATAAGTGTCACATGATCTCACTCATATGTGGAATCTAAGGAACAACATAAACTGATGAACAAAAATAGACCCAGAGACATAGAAACATTGAACAGGCTCAATCTTGGAGGGAAGGCAGGGGAGGGTGGAGGGGAAAAGAGATAAATCAATGAACTTATATGCGTATACGCATAACCCATAGACACAGACAATAGGGTGGTAAAGGCTTGGGGGAGAGGAGGGTGGAAGAGGGCAATGGGGGGAAAAAGGGACATATATAATACTTTCAACAATAAAGATTTATTAAAAAATACACACAATCTTTGACAGCTGCTAAAATATATAAAAACTAGGCACCCAGTGCACGAATTTGTGCACCTTGAAAGGAACTGTGGGCCGCGAGGCTGCGGTGGGCACAGGGGCGGGTCTTGGCTCATCCTCCATGCCCCCGCCCGGCCCCTCCCGCCACGGCCCCCAGTCCCCTATCTGCTGGCAGCCCCACTACCACCGCCACTGCTCCTACATGCTGAGGGCGCTGGCCCTGCTCACATCCGCTGATGACGTGGAGCCACTGGGGCCAATGCCAGCAGCCGGTGCGAGCAGGGCTGGCACAAGCAGGGCTGGCACTGTCAGCGGGTGCGAGCAGTGGCTACTGCCCTGATCACCCCTCAGGAGCAGGGGGAGATAGAGAAGCCCTGAGGGGTGATCGGGGCTGGCCACTTGCACCCACTGATGGCACGGAGTGATCGGGACTTGCATCGGACACCAGCAGTGGGTGAGAGCAGGACCGTTGCTGGCAGCGGGTGTAAGCAGGCTGGCGCCGGCAGCAGGTGCAAGCACCAGGCGGGACCACGGTGTGGGGGAGCAAAGAATTTTCAGTAACCACCAAAGGCTTGCCACGATGACAGTGACTGGTGCCCCGCCTTGGTCTGGTGCCCCCGCTTACGTGCTCCACCATCCCGCCATGGCTGATGACTGCCATGTTTCCCACTGTGCCGGCTGCTGCCAATGCCCGCATGTTCTGTGCGCGCCCCCTGGTGGTCAGCGCACATCATACCGACCAGTTGGTTGGTCCACCATTCGGTCTATTTGCATATTAGGGTTATATATATATAGACTAGAGGCCTGGTGCACAAAAAATTTATGCACTCGGGGGGGAATGGGGGAGGGGTCCCTCAGCCCGGCCTGTGCCCTCTCGCAGTCTGGGACCCCTCGGGAGATAACGACCTGCTGGCTTAGGCCTGCTCCCGGGTGGCAGAGGGCAGGCCCAATCCCTAGGTGCAGCCCCCTCAACCCCAACAGTGTACAGAGTACCCATCTCAGCAAACTCTCATCAGCTTTACCTATTATCAAGGCAACACATTTAAGACTAAACTTCTAAAAAACTTAAATCTAATATACAACTTATAAGAAATGCCTAAAGCCAAACAAATGAAAGCCTCAAGGGCACAGGCTGTGTGTTTGGTTTATTTAGGATTCTCGCCCCTGGCTCAGTTTTAGGCAAAGAAGATTTGCAACAAATGTTGGCTGAATACATAAATGCAGACAGAGTTACCATGGGACAAATGAAAAATGCAAATGCTGGGCCACTGACTCAGGGCTCAGAGCTTTCAGACCCTGGGACCTGTCCAGCCCAAAGAAAGAAAAATATCAGAAACTAAACGTGGTAGATAATGAAAAGACAACACCCTATTTTAAAATGGGCAAAGGCTCTGAGGAGACAATTCTCCAAAGCAGATACACGAAGGGCCAATGAGCACATGGAAAGGTGCTCAACATCAGTGCCCATCAAGGAAATGCAAATCAGAACCACAGTAAGAGGCCACTTCCTACCAGCCAGGTCCGCTGGGCTACAATCACTAAGATGGACAATAGCAAGTGTTGGGAGGATATGAACATTTCTTAAACTCACACATTGCTGGTGGGATTGTAAAACGGTAGAGCCACTTTGAAAAAATCTGATAGTTCCTCAAACGGTTAAACACAGAAAACATATGAAATCATATTGAGACAGGCCAGTAAGCCAGGACAAATGGAATAGGGAAACTAAGGCAGTTAGCTGAACAAATTCGAAAAGCAATTTACAGTAGATATAGGAGGTCACCTTCCTAGAAATAACATCTAGGCCTCAGCTGTATTCCAGCCTCCAGACCAAGAAAAGCAGCAAAACCAGGTGGGTGACACCAGGACCAGCCACAATGACCGACAACGCCCAGCCCTAACACTGACCAATCAGTAAAGACCAGGAACCTGGATGGGCACACCTAGAAGACTGATGAATATTCCGTGGAGACCCTCCCCTGAGACCTTCCCGCCTTTGAGATAAAGTCTCAAGACAAAGGACCCAGGGCGTGCTCTGGGTCTAGGGCAGTGGTCGCCAACCGGTGGTCCCCAGACCACTGCTGGTCTGTGAGATCCGAAGGGGTTGGCAACCGCTGGTTTAAGGAAACTGTTGGAGCAGCAGCCAACCGGTGGTCCGTGAGGTCCAAAAGTTGGCAACCGCTGGTCTAGGGAGCAGCCCCTGCCATTCCCTTTCCGTTCTCAAAGGACCAAGACTTGCACCTGGGGAGCAATGGGCAGCGCAGCTCAGTTGTCAAAGGCTAGTCCCCTGACCTGTTCCCAAGGCGCCCTTCTCGCTGACTTCCCAGAGAGCTAAGGCAGCCCAGCCTCGGCTCTCCTGCTGCTTCTGCAATGCCGGGTCCTGTCTTGTTTTGCGACCCCAGCTTTAATAAATGTTCCCTCATAGTCATCCGGGCTCGTGTTGTGAATTTTTCCTGCACCAAGAACCACCAAGGGCCAGGCCCCCTTTCTGGTAACAACATGTCCACACAAAGACTTGTACATAGATGTCCATAGCAGCATTCTTTATAATAGTCAAAGGTGAAAACAACCCAAATGTCCACCGATTGATAATTGTATAAACAAAATGTGGTTGTCTCCATACAATGGAATATTTGGCAATGAAAGGAAATAAAGTACGGATACATGCATCCACATAAATAACTGAAAACATTGAGTGAACGAAGTCAAAAAAGTCTACGTATTAGCTGATTGATATGAAATGTTCAGAATAGGCAATCTGTAACGACAGAAAGTAGGTTAGTGGCTACTCAGGGCTGGCGATTAGAGGGGTTTGGAGGGTGCTGGCTTAGGGATGTAGGTTTCTTTTATTAGTAATGAAAATGTTCTAAGATTAGTCATGGTGATAGATACACTTTAAATGGGCAAATTGTATGGTGGGTAAATATCTCAATGAATCTGTTTTTAAAAACTTGGGGCTAACGTAATCTCGATGGAATTAATTTTCCCACGTCCTGCACGTGGGGCTCTGTGAGTCCGGTGACGGATTCCTGAACTGTCCCGCCGTTTCCCTCTCCTGTTCTCGGGCAGGAAGACCCAAGAGCAGGTAGTAGTTTGAATAAGCGCTCATGTTCCTCGGCGCATGAGGGCTCCCTCGTGCCTTGGGAGGCCAGAGTACTTACAACTGCTCCTCCAGCGGCCAGGGGATCAGCTTGACAATGCAGTGTCCTTGCGACCAAGCAAACCAGGAGCCATCTGGGGAGAAGGCGACACTCCAGGTTTCACAGCTCGACTTCCAATCGAACTGGTGGGGGCGCCCGGGCTTGAGTTCGGCCAGCAGCAGCGGTTCCTCTGGGACAGGAGACAGCATGCTTCAAACCAGCACTCACTTCCCTCCTCGCCGCCCTGACGCAGACCCGGAAAGCCACGGTCTCGCCATGGCACGGGTGGGATTCTGGGAGGGAACTGCCACTTAAGTGACTGGGGCAGTAACAGTAGCCAAAGGCCACATTCCACCGCGGTTACTCAGCTCTGGCACTCCCCTCTGCTGGTTACCCATGACTCAGTAACCTTTGGAAGGGTAAACCCAGTGACCAGAGGCCTCATTTTCCTATGAATGCCTGAAGAGGAAGAAAGGAGGGGACCAGATCAGGACTAGCCCAGGCAAGGCTGTTAGATGGTGCAGATTAGGAGGCTTTCAAATGTATCTAAATTCTCCTCAAAAGAGCCCGCTCCTGGGAGAAAAGAGCTATCTGAAACTCACGCCCCCCTCTGCCCGCCCCCCACCCCCCCATCATCAAGACTAAAATAAAATGTTCAGCACTTGCCCTGCTTCCTCTTGCTTAGACCAGAGTCATGCCCGGAGTAGCTCGTGTCACAGCTGGACTCCTTTTTTGCTTTGGAGAATCCCACCTAGATTAGCAACTGGGAAGCGTACCCTGATCTCACACTATCAGAGTAGAAATACTTATTTCTCTGCTTATTTCATTCTCTCCTGTAACAGCCAATTTCCCTCTGCGCCTCCCCCGCCTGCAGCATGTAAGCATCTTTGTTCAGAAACAGCAGGACGATTTAATCTTTGTGTCTGTCGGGCCTCGGACAGCACCTTGTGCGGACTTAGATGCTGGGAAGGTGCTTCTCCAGCGACAGGAAGGGCAGGCCCTGGTTTCACTTCCTCCTCCCCTGGAAGGTCTCCATGGCTGGTGAGGCTCGTAAGTTAAAGGCCCTCGGAATTGATTTTCTGACCACAATGATGTGTAATGGTGACACACACTAATATAATAACTGGCTTCCCTCCTGCATGAGGTCACTTCCTGGTGTGTATGTTCCACTTTAACAGTTCCGAGACTTTGACCCTTTTATAGCCGTTACCAGGTAGAAACTAACTTAAGCAGCCCATAGTTCATATCTCCTAGGACACATCTTGATGTCTTCTCACATTTTGACCTCCACGAAATCAGGATATGTCTCACAAGCGATGACGTTTCATGGTTAAACAGGCAGTATTTTTTTTCTCAGTGATACATAGGCCAATATGATCCATATCTTGGATTCAATGAAACAGATGGTAAAGATGCACATATAAGTGCATATAATTATATCAAGGCTTTGGTGGCTTTGCCATTTAAAGAAGTTTCCTTTATATTCATTCCCTGTGGTTCTATATGTAAATCTAGGTTTTAAAATATTAAGTCTAAACTGGTGTTTGTATAGGCCCCGGTAATTCCTCCTAGAAATTTGTGTTTGTACACGTGATCCTTTCGTTTATATCATCATTTTTCTGTAGAAACATATTCCTCTGGATGCGAATGTTTACATGACAAGAATATTTTACTGTATATTTTAAATCCAAAACAGATCTCTTAAAGTTATGCAGCAATCCTGCAACAGCTCCTTCCAGATATTTCCATATGGTGACACAGCCCTAATCTGTTAATGCCTTCTACATGTAGCCCAGTGGTTCTCAACGGGCGGTAATTTTGCCCCCTGGGCACACGTGGCAATGTCTGGAGACACTTTTGTTGTCATAACTGGGGGTGGTGCTACTGCTATGTAAGGGGTGGAGGCCGTGGGTGCTGCTAAGCATCCTACAGTGCAGAGGTCAGCCCCCACATGAAGCATTTTCTGGCCCAAAACGTCAGGAGTGCCGAGGCTGAGACCCCGTATGTACACAATACTAAATGACACGGACAATGACAAATTTCATGATTCCATCCGGACTATATTTACACATGGTTCACTTCTTCCCCGTGCACACTAGCCATCCTTTGGGACACCACAGAGGCTCTACATGATATGAAAAGGGCATCCTTGACTTTTCTCTTTTCTTCACCTCCCAATCCAAATCCATTAGCACAGTGGTTCTCAACCTTCTGGCCCTTTAAATACAGCTCCTCATGCTGTGACCCAACCATAAAATTATTTTCGTTGCTACTTCATAACTGTAATGTTGCTACTGTTATGAATCATAATGTAAATATCTGATATGCAGGATGGTCTTAGGCGACCCCTGTGAAAAGGTCGTTCGACCTCCAAAGGGGTTGCGACCCACAGGTTGAGAACCGCTGCTTAGCAAGTTCTATCAAATCTTTTTCCAAGAGACTTGGCAAACCTAACTTCCCTTCATCTCCATGGCTACTATTCTAATCTATGCAACATCATCCTCTCTCTCTAAGCAGCCTTCCAACTGCTCTCCTAGCTCCCGCTCTGGTCCCTACCATCCATTCTCACCTTCCAAAGTAATCTGCTTCAATCACTCTTAGACTAAAATACAAACTCCTCACCCTGCCCTCAGAGTCCTGCAGAAACTGGCCCCTGCCTTGTCTCCCACCTGGGCTTCTATTTCTCTTCTTGCTCCTGACTCTAGCATACTAACTAGCCTTCTCTCACCCTTCACTGTGCTCCATTAGTTCCAACCACAGGGCCTTTACACCAGCTATTCTCATCCCCAGTAATGCCTCTGGGGCTGGTGCCTTCTCTTCATTCAGGCCTCAGCTTCAATGGTAGCTCCTTAGAGAGCCCTTCTCTGACCCCCAAGTCAATTTCTTTCACAACTTCAACTTCTCACTTTTCTTTTTTTAGAAACATCAATGATGAGAGAGAATCATTGATCGGCTGCCTCTTGCACGCCCCCTACTGGGGGTCGAGCCCACAACCCGGGCATGTGCCCTTGACCGGAATTGAAGCTGGTGCCCTTGTCCACAGGCCGATGCTCTATCTACGGAGCCAAACTGGCTAGGGCTTCTCACTTTTCTTTACAGCAAAATCACTAATTTGATTATTAACTATCTTCCCCAACTAGGACATCAACTTCACGGGAGTAAGGACCTTGTATGTTTACCCCCAGTTCCTAGCAGAGTTCCTGGCAGAGAACAGGCAGTCAGTAAATATTTGTTGAATAAATATACATGATATACCTTCCTTACATATAAATAAAATGAAGCCCCTTAAACTGTTATGATGCCTGTGCCAAACATTCCACATGAAATGCTTCTAAACATGAGCTATTCCCAGATTTCACACTCTATTTCTGTGATTTGGGGATTTCATCTCTTGCTATTTCAGGCTCAGGAATCCAGAAGCTAAAAGAAGAAAGAACCCAGTGACTCCTGTCCCTTCTTCATTTCTAGAACGAAGGAAATTCTGAAGGGAGAGTCTGGGCCTCAACTAAAACTGGCTGCTGGGAAAGAAAGCCGCAATTAGTGCAGAGCTTCCACACCCAGAGCCACGGGATCCAGCTTCATCTGGGACTGCGCCTGCCATGGCCCTTCTTGGTGAAAAAGATCAGGGTTTTCTAATTAAACACTGGGATGTGTGTGGACACACAGGCTGAAGGGAAAGATATTCAAGATGGGCCTTGTCTGTGAAAGGAGATTCGCCTTAACATGGAGATGAAAGCTATGACTCCAGGCAGCAGAAAGCAAGGTGACTGGTCCTGCCTCAGGATCAGTACATTATCAGCGGTTCTCAGCATGTGGGTCGCGACCCCTTTGGCAGTCGAACGACCCTTTCACAGGGGTCGCCTAAGACCATCCTGCGTATCAGATATTTACATGACGATTCATAACAATAGCAACATTACAGTTATGAAGTAGCAACGAAAATAATTTTATGGTTGGGTCACAGCATGAGGAACTGTATTTAAAGGGCCAGAAGGTTGAGAACCACTGCATTAGATGGTCCATCGGCCTGGGAAACGGTGCCTGGCTGTCCCATCTCACCCTTCAGGGCTGGTGCTGATGTCGCCTTCGCATAAGCCTTCCTGGCCTCACAATCTAAAGTGGACCAGTTAGGCTGGCTGGTGTGGCTCAGAGGTTGAGTGTCGACCTATGGACCAAGGAGGTCTTGGTTCAATTCCCTGTAAGGGCACATGCCCGAGGTGCGGGCTCGATCCCCAGTGTGGAGTGCACAGGAGGCAGCTGATCAATGATTCTCTCTTTCTCTCTCTCTCCCTTCCTCTCCAAAATCAATAAAAATATATCTTAAAACATAAACAAATAAAGTGGCCCAGTCACTTTCCTCTCACTCCATTAAATTTTCTTTATAACTATCACTCATCTATCTTTTCTTGATGGCACTTGTCATTTTTATGTATTTATTGTCCATCTCTTCCCCATCCCCAGCCCAAACTTATCTGTTCATGGCTATTGGGCTGTGCTGTCCAATACAGTAACCACTAGCCACACGTGGCTACTGACCAATGAAAATGTGGTGAGTCCAAATTAAGATTATGCATATAATATACATCTCATCTTGCAGACTTAATACCCAAAAAAGGTCTAAAATATATTAGTAATCATGATTACATATCGAAATGACGTTTTGGACATGTTGGACTGACAAAGATATAGTTTTAAAATTAATTTCACCTGTTTCACTTTTTGTATGCAGCTATCGGAACATTTTAAATTACGTATGTGGCTCACGTTTCATTTCTACTGGCCAGTGCTTGCACAAGCAGGTACTCCACAAATACTTGTTGAATGAATAAACGAACTCCAACCACTGCTCTGAAGATACCCACTCTTGTCCATTGTAACCCCATGACAATAGGCTTGATTCAGTTTAAAAGAATGTAAAACGTTCAGGCTTTTTTTTTTTTCCACAGTAGCTTGGCAGCTCTCAACAGCTCTGCCCACACCCCGAAACACAGTGGTCCAGCACTAGGAAAAAACCCAGAACTGGAAACAGATTCGTGCTAAAAAGAGAAGCTCGCTACAGATCGCTTTCAGATTTAACGATTAAGGGGTCAATGAAAATGACAGCGGAAGCTATAAAAAGACTCACATACGATTCGGGCGAACAGTCGGGGCCATTTAGACAGAGTCCTGTGCGGAACAGGCACTGAAAAGAAAGCCCTTATCTAGATGGGAAGGCCCCGAGGTGCCTCTACACCTTCCACTGAGCGCCTGGCTCCAGCAAACAAAGAACTGTCACTTCCCGAATTAAAAAGTTACACCACCCCCGGGAACAGCCTGGGACTTCAACCCCCATCCGCAGCCCTGTCCCCCTGTCCCGCCAG